AAGTAACGTCCAGAACGTGCTTGCTGCACCCCGCGTAGTTTACCTTTCAATGACAATAATCGAGCATAATTGTTATTGTCATATACCATTGCCCNCAGTGCCCCAAGTAACGTCCAGAACGTGCTTGCTGCACCCCGCGTAGTTTACCTTTCAATGACAATAATCGAGCATAATTGTTATTGTCATATACCATTGCCCGGGAGGAGACAGCTTGACACTCACACACCCACACGGCTACACACACACACAGCAGAACGACGGTGCGATGCCGTCGCCTCTTACCGGTATGCAAGCCTTCTCTGGTGGTAGTAGATGGGAAAAAAGCAGTGGCGACGAGGATTCGGAGAAGGAGGAGGTGCAAGTTGTCGGTCGAGCGACAAGTGCCGCCGCTGGTTATGGTACCGACAGCGGCAGCGGCGGCGGCGGCAGCGGTAGCGGTAGTGCCGCACCACCTGCTGCCGGTGCCCGGGATCCAACACGACTCTCTACAGCAGTTGGCTCAGCCTGCTTCTAGCAGCATCGGTGCCTCTGCACTCCAACATCGCGCTGGTGGCACCATTTCTGCAGCTGGTTGACCTTCTCCTAGCAGCAGTGCCTCTGCACGCCAACGTAAGCCTGACCAAACGGAGGAAGTCCCAGGCGAAGGCCGCGACGGCGGCGGGCAAAAAGTTCAGCAGTCGGGGAGCTGTCTCCAAGAGAACCCCCAAGAAAGAAGTCCAGGTGTCCGTCCTTGACCGGATCAAAAAGTACCCGAACGAAACCTTGTACCACACGTCTCGCACTGGGACGCTGGAGTGCCGAGCGTGCTTCGGCAAGGAAATCAAGAATTTCAGGTACCGGGTGGACGCCCACATCAACGGGAACAAGCACAAGGAAAGAGTGGCGAGCACGCTGGCGACGGACGACGAGGACGAGGTGAGCGTGTATTCGTTGGTGGTGCAGTTTGGTATAGTGTAGCACACCGCTAGGCCACTGCGGTTTGCATTTGTTGCGTACCTGCCTTTGCAGGTGTTTGTTTTGCTGTGTCGCCGCGTCCCTTGTCCTCGAGATTGTATGTAGATTGTGCAACCCCACACGCCACAACCTACAACGTAACGATGGGACAAAGCTTTCGGCCATGCTGTATGTGTTCGTTTCCTCGCTACAGAATTTGCTCCGCGCGTGTCTCAAGCGCTCCGAAGAGCAAGGAGGGACTTACGGAGACTCGCTGTCAGAGAAGGGCAAGCTCACACAGATCAAGGCGGTGAAGGGTTGTTTGGCGGCAGGTGTTCCGCTGAACGCGCTGGGCAACCCTGTGTTCGAGACGTTTCTCGCGCACGTCAACGTGAACTTGCCAAGCTCCGGGCATCTGGCTGAACACATACCTTTTATCCTGGAGGAGGAGGTGAGAAAACTAAAGTTACCAATTAAGAACAAAGGAGGAGGGCTGTGCCTGGTGTGTCTGTTTTACAAGACGGTAGTGTGGACGAGTGCAAAATTCAAAATCTCACCGATAAACATAATACTCAACACGTGTGTGAGTCCTGCTGTGTAATATTCCATTGAATTTTTCGGGAACAGCAAGCCAACATACATACGCGATGCTATGGGCGACCGACCTTACGCGTTGTGCTTCGGTGCCACTCCCTACCTCTGCGAGTGCTTCAGGGTTGGGGTTCGATTCATTAACGCAAGCGGGCAGGTAATTAAAATGTTGCTGTTGCCGTTCGTCCTCAGAGGTGCTTCGTCGTGCTCGAGTCCGACGGTATCGATTTCGACGTGAAAGCAGTAGTAATAGTTTGGCAGCCGGCGAAACCACCCAGTTCCTGTGCCCCCTCTCCCGTCGCGTCCATGATTCGACCTTTCCTCGACAGGTGGCACAACGTGTTCTGCGGTTGAGCTTGCTGAAGGCTGAAGAAGAGCATGACGGCGGACGACATTGCTGGTGAGGTCAACCGCATCGTCACCCATGAGTATGGCCTCGATCCGGACAAGTGCCGAGCCATCATGGGTGCAGCTGCGCGGCGAACCTTCTAGCCATGGACGCGCTGGCGAATTTGTTCAGATACATACGCGGTCGTCATCGGCTGCTTGTCCCACTCATTCAACAGTATCGCCAAGCAGCTGTGCACCCCGGAGTTGTATACGTTCCGTGGCAAGATGCACACCCTGCTCTCGCACAGCGATGGAGCGAAGGCGCTCTTCAAAGTGAAAGTCGGAGTCCGCGCCCCATCGACGCCTGGACACCGGTGGGGCTCCAGATTCGATCGTGGCTGCATCATTGCCATGAATTGGCCGGGAGTGTTGAAGTTCATCGCCGCCTACGAGAGTGCAGACACGGAAAAGGGCAAGGCGGCGAAGTTCATGAGGGATGAGCTAGTAGTGTGAGTTCGCGACGACAACAAGGCCCAGAGCTTAGTTCTCCAGTTGCAGCTGGCTCTGATGGTGGACGTCGGCCGTTCCGTGACTTCAGCAACTATCGTCCTGGAGGGCGACGAGCCATTGGTACGTACATAAGTAGGGCTCGTCCATTTTTTGTGGAAAGCAGAAAGCAAACGTTTCGCGTTTCTTTTTTCTTGCGGAGGTAGTTTCTTTCGCTGCCTTTATCTATTTTTTTTTATATCAAACATTTAGCCTCGTTTTCCACTTCGCCCGTCTCGGTGCCGCTTTCTCACGATGGCAGGCGCACAAGACGTACCACATTGTGGAGCGGTTCCGCAGCAAGTTTGAGCTCGCTGACGACGGTGTTTTCTCAGAGGATATCTCCTTGCCCACCGTCGCTGCTCTTCTCGACAAACTAGTCGGCCAAGGAGACGACCTGGTGAGCTCAACTACGGGCCGCACGGGCTCCGATATACTATAGTTTATTATCTTCACGCTAGGTTGTGTAAATAAATTGAAGAGGGCAACACATGGTGTGTTACTTGTGTGAGGAGGTGCCGTTAGTCGTTCCGCGCGTGTTTTCAACCAAGTTATACCTTGGCTCACGTTCCCCCTTTCTCCCCTATTCCTCCTTGGTTGTCGTCCGTTAATTTGCGTTGCGTGTTGCGTGTGAAGGGGGCATCTTCGGACTTGCTCGCGCGCGAAATGTAGGACGACTTGGACACCCTCCGCCAGTACGCACACGACAGGATCGGACGCCACTCCCAAGCGAGGGAGGCCAAGACCTTGGAGATGTTTAAGGCCGCGAAGCTCACGGACTTCGTGTCCATGGAAAGCAGGAAGTACTCCGATGACACCATTCGCAGCCTCAAGGTGCTTCCGTTTGTCAACAGCAAGATGGTCAAGGGGCTTTTGAAGGAGAAGGAAGGCTACTACATGGCGGCCAGTAACAACACAGACATCGAGTACGGCCACATGGCGTTCTGGAAGGACAAAAAGAAAAGGCTGCCTACGTGGCACGCCTTGGTGTTGGATGTTGCTCTTTCGCCACCATCCTCTGCGTACATGGAACGAGTTTTTTCCATCCTGCGGTGTTGCTTTAACGAACGGCAGCAGCACGTGTACAGCGACCGTATTTGCGCTTCCGCACTGCTCAAGTTCAACAGGGGCCGAGCCCATAGTAGCAGCTCAGCAGAAAAGACGGGTAGCGCCGAAGATGCCAACAGCGGCGACGGCGGTAGCGACCAGAGCGATGATTGCGATGACGAAAGCGACTGATGACCTGTGTTTCAGTTAGGTTCGTGTAGATGTATTGCTTGTTCGTAGTCGGTGGGTCAGTACCTGTCCAGATTTGCATGTTTTTGCCCGGACGTAGGCGTGCATGCCATGCGTAACGTCGAAGCATCGAAGCATCATTGTATTCCATTTCGTTGATTTGTTTGATGACTGAGGGCTCGGAATATTGCATGTACAACCCAGCGTACGTGCAAGATGTAGTTTGTAGAAAAATAAGAGAAGGACGAAGGACACATCATTTCGCTTTTCGCGGACAGGTGACAGGTGACCTCCGCAGCTGTCTAACCGCGTTGCGGCCCGCTCGTTTGTGTTACTGGAAGTACATGCTATGTACGTTGCCGAAAATCGCCATCAATCGCCGAAACTGAACTATGACTCGCCGAACAACATGTATGTGGAAGTCGCCGAAAGTCGCCGAAAAAGGTGTTTTTGGCACTTGAAAAAAATCAATCGCCGAAATTTTTCGTGAAACGCCGAAGAAAAGGAAAAACATCGCCTACGGGAAAAAAGCCTAGCTCATCCCTCATGAACTTCGCCGCCTTGTTCTTGTCCGTGTCTACACTTTCGAAGGCGGCGATGAACTTCATCACTCCCGGCCAATTCATGGCGATGATGTAGTCACGATCGAATCTTGAGCCCAAACTCCCCCCAACGAGTGAAACCGAAACGCAATACTGTGTGCACATTGTATACCGGTCGCCCCGGTGGTCTAGTGGGTAACCTCGCAGCCTGCTAAGGAGGATTCTTAACGAGATTTGTTCTGTTGGAATATGCCGACATGCGCCCTACTTTTCGGAAAATGCCGATTTCTTGTCGGAAAATGCTGAAAATGAAGCGTCGGAATTTTTCGGGCGCCGCTTCATTTTCTGCATTTTCCGAAGAGAAACTCCGAAATGACTCCGAAATGGGAGCACTCGAGTTGCACTGCAGTCGCCAGCACGCTGAGCACCCTCTCGCACTCCAGATCTCGGGGACAGTCCCCAGGTGGCTTGCTTGTGTCGCCTGTAAGCTTGTAGACCATGGATGGTCACGGAAAGCGCTGTGGATCTGCAGATTTCGCGGAGCAAAGGCGGCGAAAGCGTCGCAGCCTGGAGATGAACCCGCTTTCCGTGATGCGGGCGATGGCTGCTGCGGTGGTTGTCGTGGTAGCAAACCCGGCGACCCCGGCAGCTTGCGACAGCATCGTAAGGGGGCATCGCGAACCCTCCGCTTCTACGGCAGCGGCGGGGGCGGCCACGCGCAGCCGGCGAGAGGCGTGGCTCGGGAGAGGGTCGCGGCCGCGGCCGTTGTCATCATCAACGGCGGCAGCAGACTGCTGCAACCCATGACCCAACCCATGACCACAGGCAGCACCACTTTCGCCTGTGTTGTCGTATCTCGCGGGTCGGCGATGGCCCCTCGGCGGCCTGCCGCCGGTAGGTCCGCTGTTCTCGTCGCTCT